TCTGAAAATGCAACTAACTCCAAAATATATATGTAAATTTACCAAACTGACTCAAGAAGAACAAATCAACTGAACCAATACCATTAAAGAAATTGAATAAGGCCAGGCACTATGGCTCACACCTGTAATCTTAGCACTTTGGGAGGCCAAGTTGGAAGGACCTCTTGAGGCTGCCAGTTTGAGACTGGGTAACATAATGTGAGACCTTGCCTCTACAAAACACAAATAAAAATTATGAAGTCTGAAGCTTAAAACTTATATCATTGTTCACTGGAATATTCGTCAGTAAGAGTATAAAAACACATGAGAATGGCCAACTTCAACTTGATGACCGTGGTAACTTCTGGAAAGGGAAGGAGATGACCGCAAAATGGGAAGGACTTACACAGAGGATTTCAGTTATATCAGTAATATTTTATTCTTGGGGGGAAAACAAGGCAACTAAGGTAAAATGTTATGGTTTTATATAAGGATGAATATAGGTTTTTAATTATTTTTTATACTTAAGTGTGTGTTTGGAGTGATTTATAATTTTTTAACTACAAATTAAGTACCTAAATGTTTGGCTGCTAGCTTGGCTAGTTCAGACTTGGCTCAATTTTATGTGGATTTTTCACTTACTCTTTAAAATATATTCTAATTGTTTTTCATTACTTAGCTAAGAAACAACATTTTAAAATAACTTTTAGGCAAGATGGCAGAGGCAGAAAGGGGAAAGTTCCAAAAGAAAAGATTTCAAACATGCTGAATGGATATGTGTCACAGATCATGATAAACAAAAGCCTGCTATGTGGTGAGTGGTTCAGGCCAAAGACTGTGGATTTGGGAAATACTAGCTGTGTGGAGGCCAGAGTCATGAGAGTAGGAAGCTGTCCTGGGAAAATGAGCAAGAGTAGGGATTTCAACTTGGGTGGGGGAAGCAAGAAGAGAAACTTCTTTTGGGGTGTCTCACAATGACCTAGGAACAGTTTTAAACTAGGCATAACCTACCACCAACCTACCCCCCAGCATAAGAATCACTACCCCTATAAGCAGTGAATGTTGAGTTAAAATAAGCTTCCTTTGGAAGTGATGGACAAGCAAAGGAGTAATACTAACATGAGGCCAAATAACATAAACCCACCAACAGAGGGGCAAGGTTGCTACCTCAGACTGTGAAAGGAGTTAGGCAGAGAAGGCTGAAAAAAGATATGAAGGGTTTCATAGGTAAAGAAGTAAGGGAAGAAAACTCAAGCTTGAAAGAATATCATAACACAGTGTGGTTTAGGGCTGGGTGACCCTCCCAGCACCCCAGCAAGGACCATGTCCTACTGCCACCACATGAGGTACCAGTGATATGGGGCTCATTCTAATTAACATCCTACAGACTCTTGCAAAAAGGTTTTTGAACAGTGTGACCATGTGACATCATAATTTTAAATACAATTTGTAGGAATGTCCAGAAAGAGAAGTGTATGACCCATCTCCAGTATCGCCATTCATCTGCTACTATGATGACAAATATGAAATTCAGGAGAGAGAGAAGAGACTAAAACAAAAAATAAAAGGTATGTTGCTAGACTTCTTGTTAGATCACGTTTGCAGTAGTTTCTAAATTTCTGTGTTTGTACTGTCTTTGCCTGCTTTGGGGGTCGTTGGTTAGCATAGAAAGTATTTTTAATAATTACCAAAGAAACTGGAACTTTCTTGATCTCCAAAAACCAAACACCCACTTCAGAAATAATCCCATGTTGCAGTCTCATCACAATAATTTTTTTTACAGTGATCATTTTAGGAAATGTCCAGAAAATACTGCTATCCATCTGTGTAGGCAGTTTTTAAAGGCTCCTTTGAGATTTTTTTCTGTTTGATAAGTAATTTTCTTTTTCCATTTGTATTTCTCCAGTATTTTTTATGGAAGGAAAGGCTTTCCTGCTAACTTGTTCCTGGAGCTTCCCTGAAAAAGTCATTTCTTATAGGCCACCAGTGCAAACAGAGCTCCAAGTTCACAACCACCTCTATGGTTTCTGTATTTACTGTTTCACACATGGTTCTTTATCACCAAATTAATATTTTATCATTTAAGTTTTCTCTACCTCTGTTATTTCTTGTTACTCCAAGGTGGTTTTCCAAGTTATCTTTCTTGCTTTAAAAACAAAACAGTTTTGTATTTTTTAGTTTGTTCTATACCTTATTTTCTGACTCTTTTGGCCTTTTTCTTTTTTGGACTCTTAGTTCAAGACTTTTCCAAAATGAAGGTACTAATTTTGAGGAAAGTAGAGGAATTACTCTCCCAGCTCCTGCATATTTTACATATTTAAGATAAAATGTGTGTCATCTACAGCTATCCCTGGATATTGGTTCCAGGAACCTCCTCATTTACCAAAATCTGCACATACTTATGTCCCGTAGTTGACTCTGCAGAACCTGAGTATAGGAAAAAGTAGCCGTTCATATACACAAGTTTCTAATCTGTGGAATGGTGTATTTTCAGTCCTCATTTGGTTGAAAAAATCCACATTTAAGTGGACCCATATAGTTCAAACTCATTGCGCAAGGGTCAACTGTATGTAGAAGTTATAGTAGTTGTAAATTATGATTAGGCAACCAAATTAGAAAGGGATTAAAAAGAATTGCATGAAAATGTCATCTCTAGATTAAAGGATTATGTGTGCTTTCTGTTTTTTTATGTTCTTTATACTTTTCTGTTTTTTCTAAGTTTTCTATAATGAGCAGTTATGACTTTTATAATCAGAGAAAAACAATTTTGCTTTTTTGTTTTAGCTAGTCGTATCGACATCTGTAGCCTGAATCCACTTTGAGGTGTTCACTATGATCCATTGAAATTTTTATAATAAATATCTATGCTAAAAGTTTTTATTGGCCACTTTTTTAATCTTTAAAGATTCTGTTGACTTGCTAGTTTTCATCTCTCACTGTAACCTCATCTCCCACCTACCCGTATCAGAATCACTACCCTCAGAGACACGTATTAAGTGTGTCAAGCCCTGACAAAACATAACATCAGCTTTATCACTAAAACCTCTAAGATACTTGCACACACGTGCACTCGCACACACTCCTCAAAGCCAGTGATCTCTACCCTGGAGGAATAATCTCTTGGGCAGTTTGACATCCACCTAAAAGTACTGTGGCCAGGCCTTATCTTTAGAGGGTAATTGAAATGTCATATGAGACCATCAAAAGGCTGTTTTATAAATCTTGCTTTGCCTTATTTTCAAAGGCTGAGTCTTCATCATTGGGGAAACTTGTATTGGTCAGACATGACTTTTCTTCACAAAGCCATGACGATTACTGTTCTTACTGGTCCTCGTCTCCATTGCTTAACCTTGTTAAACTGTTGAAAAGGATAATTAACTATCATTGGATTTGTGAATGTGTTTCATTTTTAGCAATCAGAAATTTAGAAATTTAATTTTTAGTGAGTGATGTCATATTGTTAACATGTTTAAATGTCTTAACTTCCCTGTCTGTTAAGTTATTTACACTTAGGAAAGCTCAGCATGGACTGTTTAGCTGCTGAATATGCAAAAATACTTTTATATTTTTCAGTACTCAAGAAAAATGGGGTTATCCCAGAGCCATCCAAGCTACCTTATCTAAAAGCAGCAAATGAGAACCCCCACCATGATATAAGGAAGGGCCGTGCCTCGTGGAAAAGCAACAGGTGGCCTCAAGAAAATAAAGAAACACAAAAAGAGATGAAGAACAAGAATAGAAACTGGGAGAAGCACAGGAGGGCTGACAGACATCGTGAAGTGGATGAGGATTTTCCCAGGGGTCCCAAACCCTACTCTTCTACTGGCAGTTTTAAAACCCAGAAGCCTTCTAAGTTCTTTCACCGTTCATCACATTACCATATGTCAAGAGAAGACAAGTCTCCCAAGGAGGGCAAGAGGGGCAAGCAGAAGAAAAAGGAGAGGTGCTTGGAAGATGATGACAATGATAACTTATTTCTCATTAAGCAGAGGAAAAAAAAGTCTTAAGCTATCAGGCAGCCTCTGATGTGGCTTTTCATTGTTCATTTGGCCTTTGTGTCTATAACCTTCTGGCATTGTGTTTATTATCTATGATTAAATAAAGTGAGTTTTTGGTTTTGTTTTTTTAATTTCAGCCATTCCTAGAGTTACTGAACATCCATGGAGATCTCAATTCTCTGTGTCCAACCGGATATTAGGTAAGAAAGTACAAAGATAAACCTGGACTTATCCTATTCCAATATGTCATCTTTACTCAGAATCCTAGGGATAGGTAGAAGAATTCATCTTTTCAAGAAAGCTTTTTAAAAATACTTTGGGAAAAGAAAAACCGCATCAAAGGTAATTCATCCTCAACATGAGTATGAAATTAAATCCTTGCAGGAAGAGAAATTAACACTAAGAAAAAGTCATCAACATTTTTCAACTTTTTTTTTTTTTACATTGGAAAGGACAATAACTATAAATCTATATCCAGATTTTCTTGCCGCTGAAGCTGTTGTCAGAATCTTCCTTTGGACAAAACATCACTAGCTGACTATAAAAACAAAAGTGTCATCATTGAAGCCCTGAAGAGGCAGGGAATTGAGCTTCAGCAAAATACAGGTAAAGAATCTATCCAACATAAATGTCAGAAGACAAATTTCCTAAACAAGTGAAAGAGACATCAAAAATTTTAACATAATCACAATGAAATCATTTTTTACCACTTTTACAGCAGTGTTTCAAGCGTACTGTCACTCAGATCTGTAGAGATGAATATTACTCAAAAAATTGTTTTGTTCTCTTGCATTTTTTTGAACTACCACAAAGCTATACAGATTTTTTTGTACTTGTGGATCTTTTGTACTTCTCATAGCCTAATGTCAGAATAAGAAAAATAAAATATCTGAAAGAGAGTAAATACCTGTGTTTATTATGTAAAAAGACAATGAGAGTTTGAGTGACAAAGAGCATAGTTATGTTTGTTTTGTTTGTTTATTTGTTTGTTGTACAGACAAGGTCTCACTGTGTTGTCCAGACTGGTCTCCTGAGCTCAAGTGATCCTCTTTCCTTGGCCTCCCAAAGTGCTGGGATTACAGGCATGAGCCATCACTCCCGGCCTCGGCATAGTTGTGTTGGGCAGGTGGATAAAGTTATAAAATCCCTATAGACTGGAGTCAAAAATGCCATTTTTGCCCAAGTGCAAGCTCTCTGCCAGAATAAAATGGTATGAAATCAATTAAATAGGACAGTTTTATAATGTCAGGTTCTTAAATTTGTATTTTACTCTTTGGGAAGTATGCAGATTCCTGTATTTCTGGCAGAATCATCTCTCATCTTTCTGAGAGGAAGGAAGAATTCTGTCCTCTCAAATCAGCGTTAGTGCAAATTATATGATCAGAGAGTTTAATCTACCACTTTCCTTGTTGCTGTGTAGATTTCAGCTAACTTTATTATATGTTGGTGCATAGCTTCCTAATAGCTAGAGTTGTTTTCACCCTAAAGTAAGCAACCAGGGTTTTTTAACAACTTGCTCAAAGTGGCAGCCTTAAAAAAAGGTTTTATAAAAGTGGAAAACCTTGAGATAATTGGCATTATTCTCCAGTAGGACTTGAGGCAAACTTGTCTTATTACTCATATGGTATAACAAGTGCCCCTTCTGATCCAAAGTCATCTCCTTTCAGGGCAGAAATAGGATTACTATTTTAGGTTCTTGCATATATAGCAGATTGTTTGGAGAAGGAGAGAAAGGAAGCACTTTTTTTTTTTCTGTTTGTCTCTGCACATTGTCTTATTTTTCCCCAAAACTTATAGACAAACATTTTGTTCTAGGGTATAATTTACCCATTGGGTCCATGCATTTACATGCAGATAGGAAAGGATGCTGAGCTACTTCACCTGTGGGCATGATGATGCAGTCTTCATTTCCTGGTAAGAGAAGAACAGAAACATGGAGGAGCCTCTGCTTCATTTCCTCTCCATTTCCCTTGCCCCCAGCTCTTGCACCAAATGTTCAGTTAAGGTGAGTCAGCCAGTCAGTTTATTAACATATAGACTCTTCATAGAGTAATGGGAAGTTTAAAATATGTATAGATTCAACCATTAATCAAATAAGACTTTACATGGATAAGTACAAGAGAAGAAAAGCAAATGTCCAAAACAGTAAAGATCTGTATAGTTGGTAGGATTGAGAAGATTCTAAACATCTTACCTCTGGCCCAACTTTGACTTGAAGCAGCTTGAGTGGCTTCTATCTTGGGTTCTACCTTGGTTTGTGTTTGGTGTTCTCAGAGTAGAGCAGGGAAACCAATCTCCCATTTTCTCTGTGGAAAGGCTTGCTTTCATGGACCTTGCTGTTTGCAGTACTTATTAGTGGCTCTTTATTTTTCTGTTATACAAAGATTATGTAATCATTTTAAGGGGGGAAAATGTTAAAGACAAATCATATGTGATTCTTTCACTCAAAAATGTAGTTAAAATTATTAGTGTCTATTTCTTCAGACTTTTTTCTATACCTATATATACATTGTTTTGTAACCTGTTTTTTCACTTACATTGGGAACAAATACATGTCTGCATTTTTGCATGAATTTCTATTTTATGACTGTGCCATGATGTAATCAGCTCCCTGTTGAACATTTTGTTTCTAATTTTTATTATTTTTGAAAAATTCTTCTACATAATATCTTCTCCATTTATTCAATTGTGGTAATATGTAATCTAGGGTCAGAGAGCTTACATATATTTCATGAAAGTTTTAATACATGATGCCAAATTATATTCCCAAGTCAGATTCTTCCCCAATCATTTATATGTCCCTGGCAGTTTGTGAGTATTCATCTCCCCCTTCCCACAATCACATGGAATATTGCCATTCCCTTTTCTCTTTGCCACTCTGATGGGCAGCAAAGAAACATTATTCATTAGTGCTGCAGTGAAAAGATTGATGTGGATATGTTTGTGTAAGGAGAGACAGGATTAGCAATATAGGGAAAATCTGTTTTTAAAAGATGTGAAGAGAAGCTTCTCATAGAAAACAACTGAAAATTCTTCTGCCAACAAAACATTACATACAAAATAAGGGAGGCTTTCATTTATTTATGGCCATCCTGATCCCCTGGTCTTATCATACTTTGCTTTCACAACAAAAGGAGGATGCTGCTGGCATCTAGTGAGTAGAAGTCAGAGATGTTGCTAAATATCCTCCAATGAACAGACTAGCTTCCCACAATTAATCTGGCCCAAAATGTCAATAGTGCTGGGGTTGAGAAACCCTAGTTGAAACCTCAACCTGTTTCTCAAAAGGAATTCTTTTCACTCGGGAGAGAGTTCATGTTGCCTTCCCACGTCTAACAGGATGTGCCCTTGTCTTACAAGGCTTTGCATTTCATCATATTGCCAGTGTTTGCGAGATTGGTTGGACATGGCCATTCATGTGAAATAAGGAACACTGGTTCCATGGCATGAAGGTCTACAGTCTGGACCACTTTGTGGAGGATCCGGGCCACTGGAGACTCAGCCAGCTGAGGGAAATTAATAGTTTAGGAATCGTAGAAACAAATGCTAGAGTGCCAGGCTATGGCATGAGCCCTGGCAAGATAAACTGTGAACTGAACTGTGGTGTGAGAACAAAAGGAGTCAGCTAGTGAGAGGAGGAAAGAGTTGGAGAGTAATCTGATGGGACATTTAATTGGGTCAGAATGTCATTAGGCTGTAGGATCCCTCACCAGGATCCAAATCCAACATAGTCCCTTAGATCTTACAGTTGGACTTTGCATTTCAAAGAAGCACCAATATTTTGGTGATTTATTACACAGTGCCATGCAGTAAATCACAGGATGAAGCTGACTGGTGTGTGATTTGAGCCAAAAGTTTTTCTGTTCATTTAATGTATGTTACTTTTTTGTTTGTTTGTTTGAGATGGAGTCTCACTCTGTCACCCAGGCTGGAGTGCAATGGCATGGTCTCAGCTCACTGCAACTTCCACCTCCCAGGTTCAAGCAGTTCTTCTGCCTCAGCCTCCCAAGTAACTGGGACTACAGGTGCATGCCACTACGCTCGGCCAATTTTTGTATTTTTAGTAGAGATGGGGGTTTCACTAGGTTGGCCAGGCTGGTCTCGAACTCCTGACCTCGTGATCCACCCACCTCGGCCTCCTAAAGTGCTGGGGATTACAGGTGTGAGCCACCGTGCCCGGCCTAAGTTACTTCTTAAAATGATTTCCTGGGAAATTATTCCATGAAAACCCAGTAAAGGAGTGGGAAGGAGTGAGACAGGGAAAAGAAGAGAAGGAAGCCACGCTGGATGCTTATCAAGTCACATCCCATAAAGAGGAACTTTCAAACTCACAGAGAATGCTAGAAAGAGTGTAGGCCACACCTCAGAGTTGCCCTAGTAAGGGGCAATGGAGCTGTAGTGTGTGTATCTTTTTTTTTTTATTTTATTTTTAGTTAGTCATTGTTTAAGCCAGATAAATTGGGTTTAGGCAGCCCCCTGACAGAGGGTTGGAGATAGGAATGAAACACCAGTGTCATTTGCTAAAGCCGTAATCTCAGAGCAGTTCTTCCTACAAAAAGGTACTTGGGGCTGAGCACAGTGGCTCACGCCTATAATCACAACATTTTGGGAGGCTGAAGCAGGAGAATACTTGAGCTCAAGAGTTGGACACCAACCTGGCAACACAGCAAGATCTCATTGCTACTAAAAGTAAAAAAAAAAAAAAAAAAGATTGGCCAGGCACGGTGGCTCACCCCTGTAATTCCAGCATTTTGGGAGGCCAAGATGGAAAGATTTGCTTTAGTCCAGGAGTTTGAGACTAGCCTGTGCAAATTAGTGAGATCTTGTCTCTCCAAAAACTAAAATTAGCCGGGTGTGGTGGCACACGCCTGTGGTCCCAGCTCCCGAGTAGCTGGGACTACAGGCGTGTGCCACCACACCCGGCTAATTTTTTGTATTTTCAGTAGAGACAGGGTTTCACCATGTTGGCCAGGCTGGTCTCAAACTCCTGGGCTCAAGCAGTTCTCCCGCCTTTGTCTCCCAAAGTGCTGGGATTACAGGCATAAGTCACCGCTCCCTGACTAAAATATTTTTGATCTGCAGTTGGTTGAATCCATGGATGTAGAACTCTAGGATGCCAAAGACCAACTGTATGTTTATTATCTTGTGATCATTTTGCAGGTATGTACATATGACAAAGTCTACTTTCACATAGGTAATCTATTGGAAACATTTAATATTTTTTCACTGAACTGGGACTGTTCTTATTAAACTAGGTGAGGTAGGCTCGGTAGTCCATAGGCCATCTTCAGTTTTACTTCCTGCTTTGTCCATGTGGGGCCAAGAAGAAGACTTGATCATAAGGCAAGTATCCACCTGCAGGGGCCTTGCAGGGAGAGGTCACTGACCTCTTAAGCCTGTGAGTAGGACCTTTATCTAAGAGGCATGCTGGTGATAACTACATGTACAACATTCGGAAACTACTGTCTACAGGCTGAAGTCTAACTTCTGGCCTAAAATTGAAAGCCTTTCATGCTTCATCTTCTGCAGTTCTTTGGCTCTTCTTTCTCCTCTATCCCCTTCACCCTTCCAGTCCCACCATGTGAATGACTAATTCCTGAATAGGTCATGCTTCTCCTCCATGCCTTTACTTATGCTATTGCCTCTACCCAAAATATCCTCTTCCAGTTTTATGACCACTCCCAGACAATATTAATCCTTCCCTCTTTGGTGTTTCTATTGAGCTATTCAGCAAACACAGGCTACGGACTTTCTTTGCATCAGGTAGTATTCTTGCTTGAGAAATCTCAAGCCTCAAGGGCTAACAAGCAAGAGACAAACACGAAAACCAGTATTTTGTCTTAGAGGTGAGGAGTGCAGTGAGAGATATGGGTATGATGGTAACACCAAAGAAGCATGATTGGTCCTGCTAGAGAGAGGGGAGACTGGGCAGGACCTCCCAAAGGGTCATTATAACAGAAGAAAAGTGTTGCAGCTTAACAAAAAGGGGAAGAGCCCCTCTAGGAGAGTGAACTATGTGTTTGAAGCGTGGAGCTGTGAAACGGCAAGGATGCACTCTGTATTCGTTTCTGGAGCTACTCTCACAAAATACCACGAAGTGGTAGCCTGAAACAACAGAAATTTGTTCTCTTACAGTTCTGGAGGCCAGAAGTTCAAAATCAAGGTGTCAACAGAGTTGGTTTCTTCTTGATGTGCTGAGATAATTACTTCCATGCCTCTCCTACCTTTTGGTGGGCCTGGGCAATCCTTGGCTTGTATAACTCCAGTCTCTGCCTCTGTCTTCACATAGGGTTCTCTTCTGTGTCTCCCTGTGTCTTGGCGTTCTGGCCCACACTAAAATTATCTAAGGGCAATTTTTTCCCAAGATCCTTAATTACTCTCTAAAGACCGAATTTCCAAATAAGGTCACATTCACAGGTACCAAGGATTAAGATTTGGACATATCTTTTGGAGGAACATTATTCAACCCACTCCCACCCCAAGAACTATAAGAATTGCTTTGCCTAGTTGCACTTTTGTTTTTATTCCAAGCTTTTATTGGGGGATGCGGTCTTCCATATGTTCTTTTTTTTTCTCTGTTCGACTTTCCATTCTGATTTATACCTTCCTCAAGACTTTTTTAACTTAATGATAATTTCTTATCTTACGTATATCCTTATACTTCAGTTTGTGAAATGTGTGTTGGGTAAGAGCATGAACTGGAAAGCACCTATCAGATTTAGTGGCAGACCTTTGCCAGAGGAGTCCCAGGATAGCAGTGCGCCAAGAATCTAGATTGCAGTGCATTGAGGAGGGAATGAGCAACTACGAAGAGGAGAGTGTGTCTGTCTCTTTAAACCCTTGCCTGTGAAAGGCTGACAGTACAGAACACTAGCTGGAGTGAGGCTGACATTGACAGGAAGCTGCCGAAAGAGAGAGGGACGCTAGAGAACTAAAGAAAACTCAACTTACGGCACTCACATCAAGGAAGTGGGAAGGGATGGATCCAGAGGGACAAGTCAGTGG